AAGGACATGTGTGACAACAGTTGTAAAGTTTTTGGCCAGGGGTGTGTATTTATTTTTTAATTGTTATTTGAGGTTGGGTAAAAATGTTTTGACTTTTTAATGATTGGACCAGCAAAATATTTACCAAGATAAACATTTCTCTTCGGTGCTAACCCCCGCCATAAATAACGACCACTCGCTTAGTTATGTTTCCAATGAATTTTCTGTTAACCTGATAGGATTCCCATTGTAGTAAAACCACCTCAAGTTTTCCTTGCCAAGTAGCCTTGTTCCAAGGAAGAGGTTATTTCGCTGGCCTCAGAGTGACAATGCGTAACAAAGCAACGGTTTTACTAACACTAACCCTATTCCGAACACCAACCCTAACCCTATACTAAAAGGTTTTGACGAAATGTCATTCTGAGGTCAGCGAACTAACCTTTTCCTTGTTATCAAATGCCAGCTTTCAGACAAGGAAAATTTGTTCGTTCGTGTGTACAAGATATTATTAATACTTCTATGGTTTTGGCAAACAGAAGCTGGCCTTGAAGTGAGATGTAATTTTAAAATAACATTCTGTGCAAACGAGAAACAAAACTTGTTGGAAAGCTTGTCAAGGAAAGTTTGTCATGGAAAGTTTGTCAAGGAAACTTGCTCGGCTGGACGGGGCTTTTACATAGATATCTTATATACACTAGATAGCGCATCTCTTTTAATAGTAAAATTGAAGTCAAGAACACTCCAGCGGTTACCCCCATTTGAATAGATGGCGGCCATGTTGGAGTTTCCCACTCGCTAATAAACGCTTAAAAACAACAATAACTTTCATCATTTCAATAGTTTGAAAATGTATTTGGAATAGGTTTAACTTAATGTTTAAGTTCCCTGTTTAAGAAATAGAAAACATACGAATCTTCTCATTTCATGGGAATATCCTGAGTCTGCAATCACGGCTTCAATTTTTGAATTGCAGAATAATGGCTTTTAAGTCAGCTTTTGTGACGAAATAAACTGTTTATCTTTGCATTTTTAGACTAACGTCATGGAGAATGAGCGAATTAGTAAGTATACGTATAAATATTAAAGTTGAGTTTGTTGAACCTGATAAAATCTGTTATACCTGAATGGATGATTCCATGCAGCTATAGACTAAATTTTGATCAAGGCAAGAAGAACGAAATCCAACACCACAGCTAGAAAGAGCGTCTTAGAATGAGTAAAACTGCAAAGTATTGGTTGCTAAATGTTGTAAAATGAAGAAAATGTAGCCCTCGTGAAGTTCGCAAATTTTGTATATAATTTGTATTACGCGCGTTAAAAATAACCACTTTCAGCTTAAAAATGGTTATTTTTCCCGCTATTAATGCAAATATATACAAAATTTGCGAACTTTACAGGGCTGTATTTTCCTCATTTTGCACCAATTCGCAACCAAACTTTGCAATTTTACTCATTTTAAGATGCTCTTTCCAGCTATGGTAATGGTTTCCGTCTTGTGACTCTTGTCTAGATCACAATTTCGTCTATAGCTGGATTATCCATTACTTCGGATTCCACTGCATGAACTCTGAGATTTTGCCTTGGCTAAAACTTATATGCCAATAGATCTCACTGATCTTCGGCCAGTTAAATAACATAAACAAATGATTTAAAGTTTGTTCGTTCACTGCAACCAGGTATATCAATCATGTTTCGCTCGCTACTCTGGTTTAAATAAATGATTACAAAGCGCAGTCGAATTGTAATCAAGACCCAACGTTTCGACACTCCAGTCTAGTGTCTTCATCAGGGGTGATCTAAAGATGCAATCGTGGCTTCTTAAATACCCAAGGGATGACGTCACCTGCCAGTGAGATGCATGTATTCCTCTGGTAAATAGGCACTGTCATCCCTATTCAAAGCATGATGACTCATACTTCTATGGTCAAAGACTTTGCCTAGAAGCGTGGCATATAAATATGAGTAATCATGCTTTGAATAGGGATGACGGTGCCTATTTGCCAGAGGAATATATGCATCTCATTGGCAGGTGACGTCATCCCTTTTGTATTTAAGAAGCCACGATTATAATTTTAGATCACCCCTGATGAAGACACTAGACTGGAGTGTCGAAACGTTGGGTCTTGATTACAATTCGACTGGGCTTTGTAATAATTTATTTAAACCAGAGTAGCGAGCGAAACATGATAAACAAATGAGTCATGAAAGAGTTATGTCACTTATGGTATGATATGGTAGTACATAGATATTTTATGCCCCGCGGTCTTGAACTGCTTCATCTCTGTATTTTACTCGATACAAAATTTTGAAATAACTGTAAGAAACGAACTTACGAGTTTTTTCTAACTCATAGCTGATGAAAAGACGCGTCAAATAATCGGTTACAGACATAATTTGGAGGAGACAATGTCGTCGACGTTGCCTCGTTCCAGTTCACAAGGCAAGAAGAAATTGGCTCCTGATTCACTGAGTCTGGTCAATGAACCTAGCATCTTGTCTCAGGGACCTCTCAGCAGGAATAACCCACTATCAAGCTCTTTACAAGATCTAAGTCAGACAGGTAAGTAACATGGGAGTGTTGGGAAATGTCCAGCATCACGGCTGCCAGGAAATGTTTGACAGAATATCTTTGTCATCTTATATACTGCTAACGAGAAAGTCACCATCAAATAACAGTTCTCTTGTCCTACCTAGACGGTCGTTTTTATGATGACAATATTCAGAAGAGTACCAGTATGGCGTCATTTGAATTCACTGGGAGTGTAAGTACTCAAAATGTTGCCGCCTTTTATCAGGAAATTTAATTTCTAAGCGGCATCTTACGATCGAAGAGACCTTTCCCTCGTTATCTCAGAGCCATTGTGCATCGGCCTGTACCTGGGCCCTTCACTCTGCTTGCTTTGGCATGTTTGGCCGATTTTGGTCTAGCATTTGGTAAATATGACGTCACATGCGAAATGAGAGCAAAGTCACAGAATACTACACAGAAGTCCATCTCCATTGTTTTTAGCGTAAGCTCTGTTTGTCATGATTCGTCACTCAGCAAGTACCGTAAACAGAAGCAGTCCCCCTCCTGGAAATACTAAAAATGGCGTATGTCCAGGGGGGGGGGGTGACTGCTTCTGTTTACGGTACTTGCTGAGTGACGAATCATGATGAATAGAGCTTACGCTAAAAACAATGGAGATGGACTTCTGTGGCAACGTATAGTATTCTGTGGCAACGTGCACCTTGCTTTCATTTCGCACATGACGTCATACTTACCAAACGCTAGCCCAAACTTTATCAAACATGCCAAAGACAGCCGATAAGGGGCCAACCTAGGTCTTGGCTGGATAACAACGAGTACTATCCATGGACTTGATCAGTTAGTAGTTTTAAGACGATGTAAATATTACAATGCATAACTAACCATAGACTATAAAACGGCATCCAATGCGCAAATGACCGACGGATTTTACTTTAATAAATACCAAAATATGCAATGCGAAGATTAAACGATATAATTTTATACCAACCTGCAGTACACGCATGTAATAAACTTGTGTGTTTGCAATGTGAATTTACATATTGATAACAATGGAGAATATATATTTAATTAAGATATAAAAAGTAATTTTTAGGATAAATATTCGAAATAACGTTTGTCAGTAACCTTGTAAATTTTTATGCTGTCTTTTTAAATAAAGTAGTATATATTTTTCTAAATTTGGAACTTTGGATGTGGAATTTGCAAAAGAACCGAACTAAAGTACTGAATTACTGAACATAAACTTGTAATTTGCAGTGTTTGACAAACGTATTCCTTAAAAGCTTTAATAAATATTTAGTCAAATTTGTTTGTCATATTAGTAAAACACAGCAAATGACGAGTTTATGTTCATTATTTTGCTACTGTAGGGCCTTTTCATATGGGGAAAAGTTATCCCGCGGTTAGCGAGAAAACATTTCGACTAGCCAAATAATTTTGTTCTGTTCATATGGAGAAACGTTATCCCGCTTACCGGGTAAAGTTTCCCGCTTGTGACGTAGCACTGGTGTGACGCGCAAGGCGGGAAAAGTTAAAAAAACTTTAAATACATTTTAAAACCAGAAAAGTTGCTGACACGAAAGAAAGTTTTCGTTGTTGGCTATGTTGTGTTCATATGGGAAAAACATCCCGGTCACCGAGATATCGCCTGTCAACAAGCGAGATCTCTGTACACGGGAAAACTTTTCGTCTCATATGAACGCAGTGTAACTTTTCGTATTATTTTCATAACAAGGCGAGATCTCGCCTGTAAACTTGTCGAAATGTTTTCTTGCTAACCGGGATAACTTTTCCCCATATGAACAGGTCCTTAGTTCAGTACTTCGATATCAAAGGAACTAGAAAGAGCATTGGACTGGTATTCCTAAGGTCGCGGTCAGGCTAACCCACCGTGGTTAGGCTAACTTTTCAGCCTGCCCGGTGTGGATATACACTCAGAGTAACATCACAAACATTCACAACAAACTTTAAAGCAATAATAATGTAATTAAGGCCCCAGTTACACCATACCAGATTCGCATCGAGCGAGTCAACTAAGACGCTTTTTGGCCTCTTACAACTTTTATATTTGAAGTTTTTGACTAATTCTGTTATATTATCATAATTTTGAGCGCTAAACTCCCCTTGAAGCCGTACAATTTGATGTCGCTCCGATGCGAATCAGATATCGTATAACGAATCAGATATCGTATAAAATTCCAGGACTGGGAAGTCCTTGAAAATCAGTAGAGTTCTTGAACGTCCTGGAATTAATTTCCTTAACCTCCAGCTGTGCCAACATTAGTGATTTTGTATGTTTGCGATGTTACTCTGAGTGCATATCCACACCGGGCGAGCTTGAAAAATATGCCCGGTCACGGTGGGATTTTGATTAAAATTGATTATTTTCTGGGCAAATCCGTGCCATTTTCAAGGATTTTTCCCAGTTCTAGGTCCTTGAATTTACTGAAAAAGGGCCTTGAAAGTCCTGGAAAAGTCTTTGAATTTCACCTTCACCAATGGGTGGACACCCTGTAAATGGGGCCTACGACTACGTTTCGCCGTAATTGGGTAACTGAGTCGTATTCCCTGGCCTTACCATTTGTATTTTGGTAGTTGTCGAATTTCATTAAAGTGCTATATCACTTGTGGGACCTTTATGGATTTGAAAAGAGAATAAAAATTTAGTTAATAAGTTCAAAAGATTTTTTTGATTTGGTGCAATAGTTTTGAGGATATAGGCCTTTAAACAACGGACTGTTCATGAGTCCCAGCCTACTGGGGTCTAAACACGGCTATTGAATTTGGCCTTTTTCCAAACTGTCCATTGTGCATAGGAGCCTGGGATTCAGGAACTGTAGGTAGTTTAGAGGTCTGTATCTTCGAAATTATTGCACTAAATCAAAAAAATCTTTTGAACTTATCAACTAACTTTTTACGCTCTTTTCAAATCCATAAAGGTCCCATGCACAAGTGATATAGGCACTTTAAATCAATCAGTTATATGCAGACCAGCGGCTAATAACTAATGCTGTTACTGACTATCTGTGATACATGCCTCTAGAGTAATTTACTAACCCATATAATATAGTTGATGTCTGTTTGAGGTACTGTAGAATATCTTTAGAAGATTTCAGGCTGCCATGGGACTAGAACCTGCGACCTAGGGAGACGTGGTTACACAGACCGGCATCTATTGCTTTCTGGAGACATAGACAGCGTTTAGATGTAAGTCTCTCGTGTCGTACAGTTTTGTATAATAAATAACTGCACTTTGGCACAATCACTAGGAAAACAAATTATTCAAGATTGCACTTTTAAGTAATATATCTTGAGCAGCTTATCTGCATCAGATTTACCCAAAAGACGAACGCATGTAAGCAATCAAGTTTACCGTTTACCAATAATTTTGACGATGTCGTTCGTTTTAGCCGAGAAAATCAAAGCTAAAGTTTATGTAAAATCAGGACAAGATCTTCATTCGATTTGCATTATTAAACATTTTGAATTTTCTTCATCAATCTTTTCGAATTTTTTCATTACAAATTGACATTCTTCTCATTTCCTACTTGAGCTTCGTGTGCTCAAGTGGAATATATAAACTTTGTGGAAAAACATCAAGATTATTTGGCAAAATTTCAATTCTTAAGCCTAGATCTTCCATCAATAGTAATGCATTCCACTCGTTTTCCAGAGGTTGCAGGTTCAAGCCCCTGGCTTTCTAGCTCGAGGCACAATTAACGGCTGTTCATTTGAGCCCGGCTAGCCGGAATGAATCGTGTCACGAATTTCCAGGTCAACCGAGCCAGTCCGGCTCCATCAATATGAACAGCCCTTAGTGAAGATTTAGAGGAGAATCTTAAGAAGGAATAATCATATCATACTTCCTTATCTGTCATTTGAGACATGTTGAACACGTAATGTGCGGTCAAATTTTCAATTGTTTTTACGCACTTTTGAGAGGAACATCTGAATTCAGGATCCGAGGGACATTAAACACCCTCCCCAAGTCTGGAAACGCATCATAAAGTGAAGGCAAGATGATGGAATTGGCGTCCAATAACTATGAAGATCGTAAACAGTTGTAATACAATTTTTCCTATTGCTATTCTCTTTAGAAGTAAAAATACGAAATTTCGAAATACTCCTTGCACTGAAACTGACGTCCAATGGCGCCATCTTCACTTCACTTTTTGAGCTCAAGTTCTCGCTCTAGATAAATACGGAGCTCACTAGGCCTGGTCACGTTAATTCAACCCAGCGTGGAACTAAACATAAGCTATAAAGCGTTTAAATTATTTGTTTTGTTTCTTCACAGAGATCAACGTCCGGCATTGGTTCCGACTTTTCATCTTCGAACGGCTCGATGCAAAATTTCACAAGAAGATTCGGACTGTTCAGCTCAAAGCGAGTTCATAAGAATCCGAGCGAGAGGAAGCTCACCAAATCTGCCGGGAGTTTGGAAGATATAAAATCTATGCGCCGTAAGACCAGCTCAACTTCTGACCAGCGGAAATCAGAATTTTTTGTGACGTCACCGATTGCCACGTGACCAACATGCGACTTGATACTGGCGGGAAGTAAAGATCACGTGACTTTGATCGTGAGTACACGTTGTGTGTTCATGCGTTGTGTGATGTCACTTGAAGCTTGTCGAAAATTCTACCTCGTCCCCAGGGCGTTATGTTTGGCGCGCGGTTGGAGAGAGCAGCCGCGCGCTTTTCAGAAAGCTCTGGGAACGAGTTTTGCGAAAATCGTAGTCATTTGTATACAGTAAAATATCAGATATTTAGGGAAACTTGTATATACAAGATATTAGATCAATCACTTCATAAGAGAAACATTGTTACCAAGACAAAATCTGGCAGCCCTTCCGAGAATCATTTAGGTGCCCAAAATATAAAGATGTTTACTGGCATATATAGGGGAAATATTTGGTTGAAGCTGACCAAAGTAGCGTTATATCACTGGGAAAAGTTTTGAATGTTTTGATCAAAGCCTGGTAGTGCCAGTGGGGAAATTCGTCGATTAATATGAAATACGAGAGGTCACATCAAAAACTGGGTCGAATTATCATTTTCGGATTCGAAATTACCAAAATTGGTAAAAAAAAATCATTTACATGTAAATAAGAAATTCTACTAATTTGATTAATTTCATATCATATGCTTACGTAATTTATCTAGGAAATAATTTATTAGAAGTTCTTTTCAAATTTGTTGTGGTTTATTATAAAATAAGAAATCATTTCAAATGTTGATTTATTTATCTTCGTATTTGCCTTCTGTACATGGCCATTCACTATCAATGCTATCGTTATGGAGGTGTTTCTATTCATTTTGTGCTTGTTTTGAGATCTACACCCAAATTCCAGTAATTACCTACAAAATATGAACACGTTTTGAGTCGATTTTTAGAAAGATGATTTCTATAGTTCGTCTTCATTCCCATTCGATCAAAGAGTTCGCAAACGCCGCTCTACCAAGACGATTTGGTCCGCATACTGTGATTGCCTCGAAAGTTAAAGTGCGCCTAACCTCAATTGACCATTTGCGTAATAGACTAAATTTTGAACTAAACAAGTCTAGACAAAAATTTCATCACAGCTTGAAGGAGCATCACAAAATTAGTAATATTCCAAAGTTTCGTTGCAAAATGTTGTAAGATGCGGAAAGTATAGTCTTGCGAAATTTGCAATTTTCAGTCATTTTAGATTACAAACGGGAAATTGACAGCCCCAAACCCTTCGAGGCTGTCAATTTCCGGTTTGTAATCTAAAATGACTGAAAATTGCAAATTTCGCAAGGCTATATTTTCCGCATTTTACAACATTTTGCAACGAAACTTTGGAATATTACTAATTTTGTGATGCTCTTTCAAGCTGTAATGAAATTTTTGTTGAGATCAAAATTAAGTCTATTACGCAAATGGCCAATTCTTTTTATCATTTCATTCTTAAGAACTTCTGAAATGATGTAATAACTTATTTTGAAGATTTTCTTTTGCTCACTTTCTTTCTGAGATATTTCAGTTTGTTTGGTATGCACGACACAAATGTATGATGCATGATTTAAAGTAAAAGCTTGTATATCGTATATTCACTATCGAGTTTAATTAATTAAAATGAAGTTTGGAGTTGTGGGAGGATTACATATACCTATGTAAAACACCATTTAGCCTTTTTATTTCATGATATTTAACTGTACCTTACATTCTTTGATCAGTCATTATTCATAATGTGACGTAAATTCCGGACATTTGCATATCAATAAAACTGAAAAAACTCCGAGACAAAGTGTGCAAGCGAAAATCTTCAAAATAAGTTACAATATCATTTCAAAGGTTCTTAGGAATGAGATGTGAAAATAATTGAGGTTATTAGGTGCACTTTAATATTGTAATTTATAGATTCCTAAACGCATTATCTAGCGGAGGAGGGAGGGGCAGAGTTGTAGACTAGAGGAATGTGATTAGCCTGTTCGCAGGCTAGGAATGTGATCTGAACTTGGCCTTGCAAGAAATGACTTGTTACCACAACGCAAGTCAAATGTAAAGAAATGATGGGTGACTGGACTTGAAAAATAAGAGTTGTAAAAGTAAGGTGAATTCTACTTTATCATTGGTCTCTTTCGCTAAGGAGTCGCGTGAGAGCGCGCGCGATCCACGAGGTTCATTCTTCAAAGACACTAAGTGATCATATCTAATCATGGGATGGGAAGCTAGAACTAATGCCTAACTATGGGTGGGCACCTGACTCCTTAGCTCCAGACCAATGACTTCGTAGAATCTCCATCAAACTGAAATTCACCTTACGGGTAAGTCTCGTTTAATTTTTCAATTAAACAAATGAAGGTCTTCAACTTTGTCTTTCAAGTTTGAAAAGCACAGATGGAGGTGACCGTGTAGCAATGTCTGTCTACCTTTATTTTACAAAAATATATTTACAAAAACAACACCTATTCTAAAGTTTACAAAATCATTTATCCGCAATGTCTTAAGTCATTTTCCAATGAGTAAATTTTAGCTTTGAGATGATGAAGTTCACCGACCAAATATTTTGATCTTGCAGCGGTAGCATGCACATTACGTAATACTTCTTGATCAACGTCGCCGTCTATTGGAACATCGACAGTCACCTAAGAAATTAGAAAAATATATGAGAATGCTGGCACAATGGTTGCATGACATCTGTGACTGGAGTTACTACCACTAACCACAAGATATGGTTATTGGTAATGTTTGGGTCATTCTAAGAAGAAATGTAATATATCTTTATAGTAAAATAGCTCATCTTGATCAACTTTTTCACTGTCATAGTTGCCAGATATGTCATGAGATGAATTTTAAATTAGTTTTCCTTTGTTGTTTTTTTCTGATAAAATTCACCTAATGATGACATATCTGCAAACTTTGACAGTGAAAAACGATTGTTTCCAGTTACGAAACACCGCTTAGAGAGTTGGAGAAGATCGATTGTGTTGCTAACTCCGTCACCCGCGCTCACTCTTACCCAGTAGCAACAATACCTTACCTTAAACAAATGTTTCTCCACATTCTTCAGTTTATTTCTCAACATCTTGATATCATTCTTAAAACCCTCAACCTCCAATGCTCGCCTCTTTTCCAAGGCAGCGTATCTTTGATTCATTAACGCTAATCTCTTGCTAACTTTATCATTTCTCTCTTTAAATAATTCCAGTCCTACATCGGTTTCTTCCTTGATTCGTCCTAACTCGTCTTCCAGTCCTATACATTGTTCCCGGTACATGTCTGCGAGTTTTTGTGCTTGCTCCACTTGCTCTTTCAGTGACTGGATGGTCTGCAGTTGTGCGACCTGAAGCATGAAATTATAAATGTATTAATATTACACTTACGCCTGTATTCTGAAAGCACACTCAAAGAGTGCAAGTTCAATCTGAGCTGCCCTTGAGTGTGAGTACTGTTTTTGAACAGCTGGAGAGTGAGCAGTCACATAGTAAGGTACGAGACTAACCCACCAGCTATTCAAAAACAGCACTGACGATCAAGGGAAGCTCAAATTGAACCTCCACTCTTTGAGTGTGAGTGAGCTTTTAGAATACAGGCGTTAGTAGTGGTTAGGGACACTAGGGTAGAGG